AAGTAACATATCTTTCAAAGGCAACGTGATGACAGGATCATCGAATAGCAATGTTCAAAGTAAAGTATCTTTCAAAGGCAACATTATGACAGGATCACCGAGTAGCAATGTTCAAAGTAACGTATCTTTCAAAGGCAACATGATGACAGGATCATCGAATAGCAATGTTCAAAGTAAAGTATCTTTCAAACGCAACATTATGACAGGATCATCGAGTAGCAATGTTCAAAGTAACGTATCTTTCAAAGGCAACATGATGACAGGATCATCGAATAGCAATGTTCAAAGTAACGTATCATTCAAAGGCAACATTATGACAGGATCATCGAGTAGCAATGTTCAAAGTAACGTATCTTTCAAACGCAACATGATGACAGGATCATCGAATAGCAATGTTCAAAGTAACGTATCTTTCAAAGGCAACACGATGACAGGATCATCGAGTAGCAATGTTCAAAGTAACGTATCTTTCAAAGGCATCATGATGACAGGATCATCGAATAGCAATGTTCAAAGTAACGTATCATTCAAAGGCAACATTATGACAGGATCATCGAGTAGCAATGTTCAAAGTAACGTATCTTTCAAACGCAACATGATGACAGGATCATCGAATAGCAATGTTCAAAGTAACGTATCTTTCAAAGGCAACACGATGACAAGATCATCGCGTAGCAATGTTCAAAGTAACGTATCTTTCAAACGCAACATTATGACAGGATCATCGAGTAGCAATGTTCAAAGTAACGTATCTTTCAAAGGCATCATGATGACAGGATCATCGAGTAGCAATGTTCAAAGTAACATATCTTTCAAAGGGCAACATGATGACATAATCATCGAGTAGCAATGTTCAAAGTAACGTATCTTTCAAAGGCATCATGATGACAGGATCATCGAATAGCAATGTTCAAAGTAAAGTATCTTTCAAAGGCAACATTATGACAGGATCACCGAGTAGCAATGTTCAAAGTAACGTATCTTTTAAAGCCAACGTGATGAGAGAATCATCGAGTAGCAATGTTCAAAGTAACGTATCTTTCAAAGGCAACATTCTGACAGGATCACCGAGTAACAATGTTCAAAGTAACGTATCTTTCAAAGCCAACGTGATGACAGGATCATCGAATAGCAATGTTCAAAGTAAAGTATCATTCAAAGGCAACATGATGAGAGAATCATCGAGTAGCAATGTTCAAAGTAACGTATCTTTCAAAGGCAACATGATGACAGGATCATCGAATAGCAATGTTCAAAGTAACGTATCTTTCAAAGGCAACATTATGTCAGGATCATCGAGTAGCAATGTTCAAAGTAACGTATCTTTCAAAGGCAATATGATGACAGGATCATCGAATAGCAATGTTCAAAGTAAAGTATCTTTCAAAGGCAACGTGATGACAGGATCATCGAATAGCAATGTTCAAAGTAAAGTATCATTAAAAGGCAACGTGATGAGAGAATCATCGAGTAGCAATGTTCAAAGTAACGTATCTTTCAAAGGCAACATGATGACAGGATCATCGAGTAGCAATGTTCAAAGTAAAGTATCTTTCAAAGGCAATATTATGACAGGATCACCGAGTAACAATGTTCAAAGTAACGTATCTTTCAAAGCCAACGTGATGACAGGATCATCGAGTAGCAATGTTCAAAGTAACGTATCTTTCAAAGGCATCATGATGACAGGATCATCGAATAGCAATGTTTAAAGTAAAGTATCTTTCAAAGGCAGCATTATGACAGGATCATCGAATAGCAATGTTCAAAGTAAAGTATCTTTCAAAGGCAACATTATGACAGGATCATCGAGTAGCAATGTTCAAAGTAACGTATCTTTCAAAGGCAACATGACAGGATCATCGAGTAGCAATGTTCAAAGTAACGTATCTTTCAAAGGCAACACGATGACAGGATCATCGAATAGCAATGTTCAAAGTAAAGTATCTTTCAAAGGCAACATTATGACAGGATCACCGAGTAACAATGTTCAAAGTAACGTATCTTTCAAAGCCAACGTGATGACAGGATCATCGAATAGCAATGTTCAAAGTAAAGTATCATTTAAAGGCAACATGATGAGAGAATCATCGAGTGGCAATGTTCAAAGTAACGTATCTTTCAAAGGCAACACGATGACAGGATCATCGAATAGCAATGTTCAAAGTAAAGTATCTTTCAAAGGCAACATGATGACAGGATCACCGAGTAGCAATGTTCAAAGTAACGTATCTTTCAAAGCCAACGTGATGACAGGACCATCGAATAGCAATGTTCAAAGTAAAGTATCATTCAAAGGCAACATGATGAGAGAATCATCGAGTAGCAATGTTCAAAGTAACGTATCTTTCAAAGGCAACATGATGACAGGATCATCGAATAGCAATGTTCAAAGTAACGTATCTTTCAAAGGCAACACGATGACAGGATCATCGCGTAGCAATGTTCAAAGTAAAGTATCTTTCAAAGGCAACACGATGACAGGATCATCGCGTAGCAATGTTCAAAGTAACATATCTTTCAAAGGCAACATGATGACATAATCATCGAGTAGCAATGTTCAAAGTAACGTATCTTTCAAAGGCAACATGACAGGATCATCGAGTAGCAATGTTCAAAGTAACGTATCTTTCAAAGGCAACATGATGACAGAATCATCGAGTAGCAATGTTCAAAGTAACGTATCTTTCAAAGGCAACATGATGACAGGATCATCGAGTAGCAATGTTCAAAGTAACGTATCTTTCAAACGCAACATGATGACAGGATCATCGAATAGCAATGTTCAAAGTAACGTATCTTTCAAAGGCAACACGATGACAGGATCATCGAGTAGCAATGTTCAAAGTAACGTATCTTTCAAAGGCATCATGATGACAGGATCATCGAATAGCAATGTTCAAAGTAACGTATCATTCAAAGGCAACATTATGACAGGATCATCGAGTAGCAATGTTCAAAGTAACGTATCTTTCAAACGCAACATGATGACAGGATCATCGAATAGCAATGTTCAAAGTAACGTATCTTTCAAAGGCAACACGATGACAGGATCATCGCGTAGCAATGTTCAAAGTAACATATCTTTCAAAGGCAACATGATGACATAATCATCGAGTAGCAATGTTCAAAGTAACGTATCTTTCAAAGGCAACATTATGACAGGATCATCGAATAGCAATGTTCAAAGTAACGTATCTTTCAAACGCAACATTACGACAGGATCATCGAGTAGCAATGTTCAAAGTAACGTATCTTTCAAAGGCATCATGATGACAGGATCATCGAATAGCAATGTTCAAAGTAAAGTATCTTTCAAAGGCAACATTATGACAGGATCATCGAGTAGCAATGTTCAAAGTAACGTATCTTTCAAAGGCAACACGATGACAGGATCATCGCGTAGCAATGTTCAAAGTAACATATCTTTCAAAGGCAACATGATGACATAATCATCGAGTAGCAATGTTCAAAGTAACGTATCTTTCAAAGGCAACATGATGACATAATCATCGCGTAGCAATGTTCAAAGTAACATATCTTTCAAAGGCAACATGATGACATGATCATCGAGTAGCAATGTTCAAAGTAACGTATCTTTCAAAGGCAACATGATGACCGAATCATCGAGTAGCAATGTTCAAAGTAACGTATCTTTCAAAGGCAACATGATGACAGGATCATCGAGTAGCAATGTTCAAAGTAAAGTATCTTTCAAAGGCAACATGATGACAGGATCATCGAATAGCAATGTTCAAAGTAAAGTATCTTTCAAAGGCAACATTATGACAGGATCATCGAGTAGCAATGTTCAAAGTAATGTATCATTCAAAGGCAACGTGATGACAGGATCATCGAATAGCAATGCTCAAAGTAAAGTATCATTCAAAGGCAACATGATGAGAGAATCATCGAGTAGCAATGTTCAAAGTAACGTATCTTTCAAAGGCAACATGATGACAGGATCATCGAATAGCAATGTTCAAAGTAAAGTATCTTTCAAAGGCAACATTATGACAGGATCATCGAGTAGCAATGTTCAAAGTAAAGTATCATTCAAAGGCAACATGATGACAGAATCATCGAGTAGCAATGTTCAAAGTAACGTATCTTTCAAAGGCAACGTGATGACAGGATCATCGAATAGCAACGTTCAAAGTAAAGTATCTTTCAAAGGCAACATGATGAAATCCCTACTCTCACGTATTGATGGTTTGGCCGCGGTGCTTCGAATATCTCGCGCGGTGCTTGAAATATCTCGAAAATAATACTCGTATATTCTCGCCACCGCGTAATATCCTGTATATATTATGGTTCCATAACTTAATCCGAAAAGATTCACTCAACTTAGTTTCAATTTTCCATTGGCTAATAGTGGGGTCACTTCAACTTTATATATTGACTCGGGCTCTGATACGTAAATAATGGTGATTTCGTCCAAAGATAAATTGCTTTCTTGGACCTCTGCACTGTACCAACCAGCTTTCCATCCAGTGTCTCCTATTTCCTCCTTAGACCATCGAACTTTAACTTGCCTTCCGATCTCAAAATATTGATAATATTCATCACAACTCTCTTTCATATTTCCTTCTGGTTCTTCAGTAGAGTCATCATCATCTCTACGAAACGGATGTCTCACATACATTAGCAAAGCCGAAAACAATTTGTGTAGGTCAGTAATCACATGTATATTTGAAGGATCTTAATTTTTGATTTCTCGCACGACGGGGTACTGTAAGTGCGGATTCTGCGTATGTCATGACATGCCAATATAGATTGCTGAATCTCGAGCGATATAATTCGCTTGGCAGTTTCGATGCATTGTTTTAGCTGCTTTTCTGGCTCGTAAGACACCAATTGGAAACGTCCGTGGATCATAAGATACAATCGTAGAACAAGCTCATCTTTGTTGCCAGCGAAGGAAACTGCGTGAGACTTTAAAATATATTTTATTCTCGGAAGTGACATTTTTTTAAGTTCACTTAGAGACTTTGGTAACGATGATAATTTCCCACTGTATGATGGTTTGAATGTGCTTCGTTCTGTTTCTCCACTTGCCAATGCCAATCTTTTTACCAGCTGGTACTTTTGTCCCGATGATGGCAGAGACTTCTTTTTGCATTGTTGTTGCAACTCTTCTACAGACATTTTGTATAACTTGTGATCTCGCCAAGTCTCCCTTGCGATATCTGTCTTGAAATCCTTCTCCATTTTTTCGCATTTTAGCTCGAAGTACTTTTTCACATCTTCGATTGGAATCCACACAAGGATAGAAATATCCTCTAGTATATCTTCCGGTGGTGCGTTGTTCTTCGCAAACAGCCAGTCTAGAACGGTCGATGGTAGAAATAAAGCTGGTACGTCTATGTGTATTTCTTTGTATAACGCAGCTGTTCTCTCGTATGAAAGATAGTGAAGCTCTCCTTTGCTTTCGAACCATTTAACAAAATCTGGTATAGGTTGAAGTTCGAAGTTGTATTCATCAACAGTGCTATAAAGTGTTGTGGAATATTTATCTTTCCATGCTGAACAGTTGTCTCCTTTGTTCATCACAACATTATAGTCGCTAATATACTGCCTTTCGAAATCTTCGGGTACATCCCACACCATGACAAGTGATTCGAACAAGGGATTGCTGCCACTCCTTGGTCTGTATGCCCATGTGCATTCTTCTTTCCTTTCTTCTGAAAGGCTTAAAAATTCTTTCAATTTTTTTTCGTCATCAAAAACACCGTTTTTATTGATTCCTCTGAAACATTGCAAAAATCGTCCGGCAAACTGTGCTTGCGAAATGCAGTCCTTCACATCAGACGCCATTTGCTCCATATTTTCGAGATGCTCATCGCTTCCTATTTCCGGATTCCTGTGAATCTTCTTGCTATTAAATGGTCCATGTCGCGACAAAGCCAAGTTCTCAGCTGCATGTACTCTTTCAACAAAGTTTCTTTTACTGTGGTATTCGGCAAAAGATTTCTGGCTGATTTTACTAATAGACAGTAAGTACAATAACCTGGACATACACATCTGAGTCAATGGGCTATCGGGGTCTTCACCGTGTCCATTATCCACAATGAAACATAGGACAGATTTTAATTTACCTGAAATTGAATTTCTAAAAATTTTGTCCAAGGACGGTATGGTTATCATGTATAATAGCTCGTTCATTGCTCGAAAGGTAGTCTCAGGTTCACTGATTGCAATGTTTATAAGAACCGCAGCTTGTCCTGTTCTGGTGATTTTGACAGTTTCGACTTCTTCATCCACGCTGGTTTTTGGTACCTCCATAAATAAATGTGTCATTGGATAAACGGCATTTGTTCTACTCTGATCAAATGTATGATCTTCGTACGTGATAGGTCTCCAACTTTTCCCTGGGTGTTGGACAGGTTGAATATCTCCACACACAATTGCTTTTGCATCTTTAGAATCAATGACACAGTCATCAGAACACGTTTCCATACTTTCGAGAAGAAGGTTTACATTTTTGGTCGTCCAGTGTAAGTTGATTACATGCTTTGAAACACCAATTCTAGGAGGGCGTTTGAGAGATATTTTTGCATTAACATCTTTGCCAGCGTGATGGCGTTTTGCAGAGTAAGTTTTATCTTTGTAGGACTCTGTATAATTATAGCACGACTTTAGTGAAATCCCAAATCCCGGCGGTGAAACTTGAAGTAAGATTTTACGAGCCTGATGCATGAATAATGTGTTGTCTCGTGATCTGTAGAGTATGTCTGAAGTAAGTCTTGGGTGACTTTCAAGACCACCATGCATTTCATTACTACCATGATTAAAAATCTCTTCCAGGACAATTTTTAGTTCCGGAAATATGTCCGCCAGCATCGTTCGTCCTCTTGTTTCGTACTTTAACTTAAACTCATTCATTTTCCTTTGACCAATTACTCGTTTAGTCAACCTTCTTTGTTGTTCGTTTGTCATGTCATTCCTAACGACTTGTGACGTGTTTTCAACTTCTTCGAATTTTGATAATTTAAATTCTAACTCATCTTTTGCAGATCGGATGGAGTTTCTGTTTTTCACGTCAAGCATTTTTGCAACGAACTTTACGCTTGTTGCAGAAGCAAATAAACCTTTTATTAGATCGCGATCTTTCTTCGTATCAGTAAACCTTACAGCTGATTTTATAAGAGTCCCAATCTTAGCCTCAATATGAGTATTCAAATTCTCCTGTGAACATCTTCCAACTAAATCTTCCAAAGTTGTTGCAATCTTGGAAATATTCTGATTCCTGTTTTCCATTATGTACGACTTTCCTTTTAGTTTGACCTGTATGACATTTAAATGGGTTTGTATCCTTTTAAAAATTTCAGACGAGCGGGGCATCCGTTTCTTTCGACTCTTGTCATGTTTATCTCCAAGTAAAATCACACCAAGCTCTTGAGTGGAAATTAAAGGACCGTTTTCTATAATATATGTTCCAGCGTTTATCATCATCCTGTTTTCATTATATCTTTTCGTTCCAGCAACAAGGTTTTTGTTCTTTTCTTTGAGCGTTTGAATATTTTGTTCGAGATTTCCCTCAGCTTTTAGCAGCTTGCTCCTGCTTCTATTTTTGAGCATAAGTGCACCTCTTCTTTTGTACCATTTTCTGGAAAGAAATTTGTACGGAATTTGGCCGTTAACATCATTTTCAACGGTTTGTTGTACCGGATTTTTATCTGCTCGTGAGCAACCAAACGTCGTGCACGAAGATTGATCGGAATTTGTAATAACGCTCCCACTTTCTATTTGTCCAGGTAGTGGATATTGTTTCTCAAACCACTTCTTTGATAAATGTGGTAAACAAATCTTTTTCTCTGATGCTTGCAATGCGTACCATTTACGCGAAAGGCTTGGAAATGAAATTGGTTTGTCCAAATATGTTTCATTTTTCCTCCTCTTTTGTCCATCATCTGCATTCGGTTCGCTTTTTCTCTTATTCCTTTCTGTCGTTGTGTATTCATTCACTTGAGAGTTGTTGCAAACTCTTGAATTAGCATTGCTGAGCTTTATAGTTGAAGCATTTTTGTACCAGGATCTGGAAAGTTGTGAGTACGGCAAATCATAACTATTATTTTTTAGACATTTCATATTGTCAGGCTTAGATCTTGTGTCGACAATGTTCTTTTGGAGCATATCACCAATTGTGTTGTTATTATCTGTTTGAACAACCTCACGGACCTTCTTTTCTGTCGTATGTAGACCCCTATTACCGGCGAGGAACTGTTTTTTTAGCTTCTTCAAGGGCGGATTGTTATTTGATGTCTTTGATCTTTTTTGGTTTCGTGGAACTGAAATTAACACAGGATTTACTTAGTCACAAGTCAGTGAACGTTATTCAGTAGATATATGTCAAGGTTGGCAATTCAACATATTTGAGTAATTTTACTGAAGAAAATGACCAATCATTTGCCTTTTGGAATCACTTAGATTGCGATACCTAAAATTACGACTTGTGGAAAATATAAGATACAAGTATTTCAAACCGTCCTAAAGTGCTAAAATATTGCATAATATGTATATGCATGGCTATCTGGCCTATGTAATCGTGATTGATAAGTCGTCTCACTCAGCCGGGCTGGTTTGCTTATCACCAAAACGGTAATCATAATAATCATTTTACTATTTATATTTTAAATTTCTAATTACGTATTAGGCCTTTTGTTACAATTGGTCACGTAATCCAAACTTTTTTATGTAACTCTGGATCAGTCCCATGGACAGAGCATAGGAAAGAGCATCGGAAATTATGTAGACAAGTAAAATTTCAGGTCCATAGCGTAAATACATAACATTCGGCAGTAATTTTTGTTAATTTCAAAATGCTGCTAAATTTGATGTACTTACGCTACCCTCGACCTATGACCCTCGACTCTCCAACACTCGATCATTATCCAAACTCCATACGCCTACGGACCTTAAATTTTGCTGGTCTACAGTTTTCTTTGATATTTTCGTCTATGAGACCACAGAATTTTTATCTTAACTATCTAACTAAACTTACACTGACAAAGAACTAGCTAGACTTGTTTCAAGGCCGTCTCATAAGTCACCCCCTCTAATGGACAATTCCCCAATTAATCAAAATTTTGGACTCAACAAGTCTAGACAAAAATTTCATCACAGCTTGAAAGAGCATCACAAAATTAGTAATATTCCAAAGTTTCGTTGCGAAATGTTGTAAAATGCGGATAATATAGCCTTGCGAAGTTTGCAATTTTCAGTCATTTTAGATTACAAACGGGAAATTGTTACCATGGTTTATTTTCAAGATTATGGGACCGTGTTTGTGTTCGGTGCTTTGTCCATATTCGCCGAACGAAATATTCATCGAAAGGTAAAATCTCTTTTGCGATTACTAAATCCGTTAAACATGGATCAATCAGCCTGGCATTATCGTCAAAACTGTTTACAGTTGACCTAACTGTGTGTATGGATATTTCTCCCAACCCTGGACCGGCTAGCCGAAATACTTCCGTGACAGAATTATCTCACCATTGTTTACACACGCCATCATCAAGCGTTGTCGCGCCAAGCAAGATAAAATACAGCCAATGCTTTTTAAAGAGTCTTCGATATTCGTCGCAAACCAGGTACATTAATAGCCATGTCTACTTTATGATTCGTCTTATTGGTATACTAAAGCCATTCCGTGGTCGTCGTGGTGGGAAGAGCCTTCGTTTTCGCGAATATTTGAATGAATATTTAAGTAATCCTCAACGTCAACAGACAACAACCTCGTCGACAAATCAACACATTCAAACCACTAAAGAATTTGTCCCCTCACTAGTCCTAACCAATACAATGTCTCTGGTTCCTAAAATAGACGAAGTCAGGCATTTCGTGCTTGATAAAGATCCCGATCTGGTATTTATAACGGAAACATGGCTGAAAGATCAAATTGACAGTAACCAAGTGGACATTCCCGAATATAATATGGCTTACAAGAATCGGAATACGAGTAGCCATGGCGGTGTTTGTCTATATATTAAAAACTCCATTCAGTTCAACGTCCTGGCTGAGGTTCAGTCGCCCGAATTTGAAGTTCTTTGGGTGAAAATAAGACCAAATAGACTTCCACGTGGTATACCATGCATAATTACTGCTACTATTTATCATCCCCCAACTTCCAACGACAAATTACTTCTAGATTACTTGACTGTCTCGCTAGTAAAATTAGAGAGCCAATATCCTGGTTGTGGCATTATTCTTGGTGGTGATTTCAATCATCTAAACATTAACCGTATTTTATATCAGTTTAAAATGAAGCAGCTTGTCAAGATCAATACCAGAGGCAATAATATATTGGACCTAATCATAACTAACATTCCCCAATATTATGAAAAGGATAATCTACAATCTTTTCCCCCTTTCGGATTGTCGGATCACAATGTCTTGTTGTTAACCCCAAAGGATAGACCTACTTCTGCCAACCGTAGAAAAACGATTTTAAAGAGAAATTTAAGTGTAGCTCGGAAAAATGAACTTGGTCGATATTTGAGCTCAATAAACTGGGACATAATAGATTCAGGAAAAACCTGTGAAGAAAAACTCTCTTTTCTAGAGGACATTATCAAAATCGGATTGGATTTTATTATGCCAATTGATAAAGTGAAGGTTCATCCTAAGAATGCCCCCTGGGTCACACCTAATTTTGTTTACTTAATCAAATGTAGACAAAAGGCTTTTAGAGACCAGGACAATACCTCTTTCCGACATTATCGCAATCTCGTAAACCAAGAGAGGAAAAAATTACGGGGTAACTATTTTTCCTGTAAAGTTGAGAATCTTAAGAATGCAAAGCCATCTGCCTGGTGGAAGGAATTGAAACAACTGTCTGGTATGCAAACCCCTACACAATCCGAGAATTTGATTTCTCAATTACATATTGACAACATCGATAAAGAGAATTTATTGGATATTGCGAACAGAATCAATTCAGCGTTTGTGGAACCTATGCAAGAATATCAACCTCTCCAAGACAACCCATTTACCGACACAATAATTGGCCCTGACTATGAGTTCACAAATATTACAGAATTCTCAACATATAACATCCTCAAAAAACTTAATGCTCGGAAAGCTACTGGCCCCGATGGAATTTCCAACTGGATCCTAAAAGATTATGCTGAAATCCTTGCAAAACCTGTTTGCTCTGTCTTAAGTAGCTCATATAAGGAGCAGAGGTTACCATCATCGTGGAAATATGCAGATGTCACTCCACTTCCGAAACAAAAGCCAATTATGGATATAAACAAACACTTGCGACCAATTTCCTTAACATCTTGCATTTCCAAAGTTGGTGAAGAATTTATCGTTTCCAACTACATAGCACCTGCAATCCTGAAAATCATTGATCCCAACCAATATGGTGCTATTCCAAAATCATCAACCACCCAAGCCTTAATCTCGATGATTCATCAATGGTCCAAAGCTACGGACAGTTCAGGCGCTGCAGTAAGAGTCATATTATATGACTATAGAAAGGCTTTTGATCTTATCGATCATAACATTCTAATCAAGAAAATTAATGATCTACCAATCCCCCGTAAAGTTGCTTGCTGGGTTGTAGACTTCCTAATGAATAGATTCCAAAGGGTCAAATTGTCTAATGTTTATTCAGACTGGGAAAGAGTACCATCTGGAGTGCCTCAAGGCACAAAACTAGGCCCTTGGATATTCTTATTAATGATAAATGACCTCCGGTTAGATGGCATAGATACATGGAAATACGTCGACGACACCTCTACATCAGAGATTATTCAAAAAGGCACGGATAGTAATATCCAACTTAGTTCCTCTGAACTCCAGGAGTGGTCTTTACAAAATAGATTCCAATTAAATTCAAGCAAGTGCAAAGAATTAAGAATTGACTTCAAACGGGAAAAGCAACAATTTAATCCTGTTATGGTAAACGATCAACCGGTTGAAGTGGTCAAACATGCTAAACTACTGGGTCTTACTATTTCCAGCTCTTTGAAATGGAACATGCACATCGAGGATACCATAAAGAAAGCGAACAAACGTTTGTATTGCTTAGTACAATTGAAACGAGCAAAAGTCCCAGAAAAAGAAATTGTGCAATTTTACTGTACTTGTATTAGGCCCGTATTGGAATATGCAGCGCCAGTCTTCCATCACTCTCTACCACAGTATCTGGCAGATGATTTAGAACGTGTCCAGCAAAGATCATTGGGAATTATATTTAAATGCGAAAAGTATAATAAATGCTTAGAGTATTCTGGGCTAGAAACTTTAGTCAATCGAAGGCAAATGTTATGTTTGAAGCTGTTTGATTCGATAACATCAAACTCAGATCACAAACTTTATAAACTTTTACCCCCAAAGAAGAAGCAGACATATAATCTGAGACACAAACGTTCCTTTAGTTCTCTTTTAGCACGTACTAAGCGTTTCAAGAACACTTTTATACCACATATGTTAAATAGTAAATAATGTCATTTGCACCTTGTATCCTGTCACCAATTGTAAATATTTATATAACCTACACCATTCTTGTACATATTACGTAAACATCTACGCAATTCAGCTTCAGCTGCAAAGTAGTTTTAATAAAACATCTATCTATCTATCTATCTATCTATCTATCTATCTATCTATCTATCTACTTCTGTCCGTAATACAAAATGACTGAAAATTACAAACTTCGCAAGGCTATGTCCGCATTTTACAACATTTTGCAATGAAACTTTGGAATATTACTAATTTTGTGATGCTCTTTCATGCTATGATGGAATTTTGTCTAGACTTGTTGAGATCAAAATTTTGGTTAATTGGGGAATGGTCTATTGCGCTGCACACAAGCAGATCGAAAAGGCACGAAGATGAAATAAAAACAGACTTTCGGATTTTTTCTAGGTAGGCGTGGTTTGTTAGTTTACAATAACAGGAAGTGCATTTCGCGCCAAATTTGGGGCGCTTGCAAAGCTAAATGTCCATATTATCTCTCAACAATCAACAAGTGAAACAAGTCTTCTAAAGCATAAACATGTATTTGGCTAACCTTTTGGCCTTCTTTCACCATGATCAGCAGCACCAATTGGCGGGAAATCTAGATCATAGTTGTGCGGATGAATAATCGGAACCGGCGGAGAGAATTGTAAAAGCGGACCAAATCCAACATTCATGATATTCTTCTCTATCACCCAAGCTATCATCAATGATCTCCACATTACCGCATGAGAAGATGGTTGTCTCATCAGCCTCCTAAGTGTTTTGTTTTCTGTTGTTGGATTATTAATGGATTTTTCTCCAAAAATCATATCATGCCAGAAATCTGGCAACATAATTGAAGCTGAGCAAACAAGAACTACTATACCACCACATAATTCCTGGCACGTTTGTACTGGAAAATGGGCACTGCATCCTTTAACGCAATGATGAACATGTCCAAAGTGGGGATGATGCATAATGTTCTGTTTTACAGTTATGTTTGGTTCGCGACCGTCTCTTTCTCTAAGCATCTTTATCAGAGGCTCAAAGCAGGATCGGAGGTTTTCTGGCGTTTGCCAGCCTTTAGGGTCACCATATATGATATTCTCACCGTCAGTTGGTACAAGAACGTATACCCAATGATTTCCATTACCTATCGTTGTAGCAGAGTTTATACCAGTATTCTTGATATTTAGCGCAAAATGTAAATACTTGGTCGTTACCTTTATCACGTCTCGGACTCGTTGCAGTAAACGCGCCGGGTTAGACATTAAAGGATCGAAGACCAGAAATGCATGCTCTTCAGACAATGTATTGAACATAGAGAAAAAGTACCCAATAAGGTCGTCCGAAAACCATCGGTTACACACCAGGCGCTTGGCATCTTTGATATGCAATCCAAATACTTTATCAGTTTCTTCACTTGTCCAAAGCACGTCGACATATGATTTAACTGGTTTCAGCAATTCCATTGAACCCTTGCTAGAACTGAGATGATTTTCCGTATTTGTGAGCCAGACCCTTTCTTCTTGTACTTCTCGGACCGTCTTATGAAGGTTATGTAGCCTTATCATCTCCTGCAGCCTATCTCTGTCTACCATGCCGAAACCTGGAACATCCACAACAAACGTTTCTGACTTTTCTTTATTTACATCCAAACAATCCTTTGCCGATTCATGTAATTTAGACGAAAGTTCGGCCCGGAGATTTAAACAAATACTTTCGGGTAAAATTTCCTCTAACAACTGCACGTTGACTAGACCGTCCAATTTTGCCGAATTAATTTGCTTCACAACAGGCTTCTTGAAATAGCCAGTAATATATTTTGTTGAAACTTTTGGAAGGAATTCTCGCCGCACCTCTCCACGCTTCATGCTGAACACAAATAAAACAGTTGTAGAACGTCAAGTCTGTCACACTTTCCGTTTAATGTTACAACAAGCAGCAGAAATCTTAAATAATACTCTTATAATCGAGATCAGGTGTCGTGTAAGAACCAGACTGTTAAAAGCTTTATAACTATACTGTAGTACTTTTTGGCTTTACATTTATAGGGAATTGTAGACTGTACCCAGTCCTTTCTGGTTATGCATACAGTGTATAGCTAATTCAATTAAGGTTGTACTTGCAAAAGCTTAAACCTTAAACTATGAGTACGCAAGGGACGATGTTTTAATGCTTATTTTGACTCATACATTTTCAAATTTCGCTTTGCAAGAATACTTATGACATATATAACACTCACGACAGAAAACATAGTTGCTACAAAGGCAATTTTCTGACTTTAAGATCCTAATTATTCTGTGACTTTAAGGGTTAATAGGTGAAAATCCATCATCCCTTTCGCGCTAAGAGTTTAAGGTTTTGGAAGGACAACCTTAATTGAATCAGCTGTACACACGCCGTTCAATTGCTAGACTGCGAGCAGTCCCTCCTGTTTAGATTTCCGGTATTCTCGGTCTATTCAAGTGCATGACAGCTTTTTATACATTTCGGTATTGTTGTCGCGAGCAATTTCCAGGCTGTAAAAAGTATACAGATCACAGTACTGCGAGCTATAATCGAAATAATGTATTAATTTCAATGGTCAATATCGCAACATACTTTTCAAGCGGAACATAACATATTTTTCGAAGAAATTAATTTTTAATGATTTTTTTGAGATTTAATTGTTCAAATGTTATAATCTAAATTTAGAATAAACGATTAGACAATTCCAGACATTCCAGCTATCAACTTATTTTTTACCTAGACAAGAAAGACAAAATATAAGTAAAATTGCAAAATTTGGTTGCGAAATGTCGTAGCTAAAATTTCACAGGCCAATATTTAATAATTATTCGCCAAAGGCGAAGACAAGGTGAATATCGAGGAATATTCGCCGAGACAAATTCAAGCTGAATATTCCTCAGTAATCACCAAGCCTGAGGCGAATAATTGCGGTGCCCGTGCCATTTTTGGCACCGCATTATATTCTGCGGTTTCTGCCTGTGAGTTAGTTTGTTAGTTTGTTCGCATCAATACGTTTCCTTAATCGCCTACCAAAAATTCCTTGCACGTGCTCGGAATTTATTAATTATTATTAATCGTGTACACGCATGATCTCTGGTTTTATGCGTCAAACAAGGACAAAAATACCACTGTTCGAATCAGCGTGAAATGTTGTGTTTACGCATGGAAAATTGATTTCAAAATTGACTTCTATTCTAGCTATTTGTCTCCTTTGAAAGACAAAAGCCGCTCAAAATAATCCTTCACGTTTTCCGAATTCCTTTTTTCGAGGAAAGTTTTCTTTCGAATTACAACTCGAACTCTCACGTTGACTTTTTGCTGCGTCTTATCTCTGGTTTTATGCGCCCAATAAGGACACCGTTCGATTCAGTGTAAGAAATTATACTCACAGATGTCAAATGTATTACTAAACTACAGTACTCTAGCGATTTATGGCCTTTGAAAGACAAGCGAAATTGTTTTGTTCACAAATCGCTCAAAATTATTGAACTAATTACGTACGGACCAACTGAATATAACTTTACTTGTACATGCAGGCGGAAACGCCAAAAGTTTTATTTGTAGGCGGGCACCGCATTTTAGTACTCTGTCTGGTTGTTTTAGTATTTTTACACAAGTCTTATGTGTTTTTGATACTGAATTTATGTTAACATTGCTTAATACTTCTTCTAATTTTAGTATTGCTAAATCCACAAAATATTAGCCGCCATTTTGAAAATTTCGTTTTGTTATATGTGACCATATGTAGGTGAACATATTAAACAGATTGATACGTCAAATTTGACCAGTCAACTTGCAGGATTTGATCAATTTGTGCAAAAATACTAAATACTTTTATTAAACAATGTCTATTTGCCTGTATCAATGATGACGAAATGTGACAAATTGACACATATTTTACTTTTTACACGAACAAATAAAAATTGTCAAAATAAAGATTGGCAAATTAGACAATTATAAACTGCTCGTGTCATATTACGTTAATTAAGAGTGAAGCTTTGAGGGGCATATATATATATATATTTTCAGTCACATATATATATTTTCAGTCACATATATATATTTTCAGTCACATGCACCACTCCTCACACAATCTTGGGTAGTCATATAATAGCGAAATAAAACGAAAACGATTGGAACAATTCTTAATTAATTACAATGTCAATCTCGATGTCAATTTGGACGCAAGTCTTGCCTTTTTGTGAACATCACCTTATTCCGTAAGGTGTTTAACATCAGACATTTTTAGTTTTAAATTTTTTCGCATGACGTCTTGTCCTTTTTTTATGTCAGAAAGATAATATTTTTTAGCGCGATGTAGTTCTTCCAGCTCACGCTTTCTCTTTAGATTTGCTTCCCCAGGCCCAGGGCTATTTTTCTGAGTTTCAACTATACTGGCATTGACTTTTTCTAATTCATTCTGGCTGTTTCGTATTCTTTGGACATTTTTTGAAAGAGTGCTGGGCTTCAATTTACTCTCTTTTGCATGCATGTCTTCAGCTGCATTTAGTAAATCTTTACTTTCCCCAATCAATAAGCCGGTTTGCTCTTTCCTCCAGGCCTCATTAATAATTTGTGCAATATCCTGTTTAGACTTTTTCGTTTCTTTGCACAGCTTTTTCGCCGTGTCATTCCAGAAAAGGCGTCTTTGTTTCTCCATTCCCTTTGCCACTTCAATGTCTTGAGTTGTGTAAATCTTTATACCTCGTACTTCCCAAGAACTTGGACGTCGCAAAAACATGTTTGTTTGTCCAATATTTGTTTTTAATTTCGTTGAATCGCGGTCGCCTTGTGGGGGTCGATCGCCAGAAGTAAGCTCAATGGATAAGCATTCGTTTTCTCCGCTAACTTGTTTTGCAACGCATTCGACTTTAAGAATGCTTTCCTTGCTTAATTCAATTGGCAAGTCTTCATACAGGTACACAAAGCTCTTCAGGCCCAAATCGTCTGAAATTTCATCGCGAAGGTTTGACAAAGTATCTCCCTCATTAAACGCTGGCAAAACGCCAACCGTTTCCCCGTCAAAAACTATTTTGATTGCTTTCATATTCTCTGTTTATAATATAACGAGGTTCTTATAAATTTAATTTTGTTACATTGTCCCGTTTGTTATTTCGTACTTCCGGAAGTTTGCCTTATATGTAATATAAAATGCAGGAATTCATTTCATAATTCCAATTTCCCAGTCTATCTTGTTATTGTTATATTGTACTGTATGCCATTTGCGTTTTAAAAGCTTGTACTAATTGCGATATATGAATTTACCCAGTTTAAAAGGTTTGGGGGCTAGCACGCGAAAATCAGAGTTTTAGTGATAAAATTTTGTATTTTTGATCTTTACACCCGTTTTCAAAATTACGCGACCAAAGACGAAAATGCTAGAGTCAAATTGACATGTCAGTTTTATGTCATTCGATCACGAAGTTCAAATTTTGAGTTTTGCGGTTCCTTGTCGATGTATATGCTTTGTATGCTTTATATAAACAGACTTACAATGATTTTCAAGATATTTTAGTGAGAATTATTGTAAAATTTAAGCACGACAAAATCATAACATCACCGTTATAGTCTAGCGCGCGTGTTTTATACTGACAGCTATATTCCAGGATAAATTGTTATTTTTCAAACTTTAAAAGTCATTCACGGCACATATTTATGTTGTGATGGTTTGTATTGTGCTTTAGTTTGTATATCTAAGTTATCTGACTCATTTTTGTTCAGTTTTGGTATTAAATACGGTTTAAAATGTCTTTAGACAGTTTGTTTACGTTTGCTATTTTTAGCAGTTCTTGTGACATAAAACTGACATTTGAAGCAGGAGTATTTTTCAGGGAGGTCGCGTAATTTTGAAAACGGGTGTAATAGCTAGAAAAGCCAAGTTAAATCTAGACCATATGTCTGTCTAGACGGCAGGTATTTTCCGCGGGTAGCGGGTGACGGGTAGCGGGTAGTGCGTGCGTAGCGGGTGGCGGTAGTTCTCGTAATTCACATGTTGAACACATCAGTGGCGTGCTGGCAGGGGGGGCCGGGGGGCCACGGCCCCCCCAGCTGGCAATTCTTCAGGGCGCAAAAATGAAAAGGGGGCGCCGACCCGCGCCGAGTTTTGAAAGTGGCTGGGAAAAAACGCATTCGAAAAAATATAGTTACTTCCGCCGAGAAAAGATGTGTTTATAGGCTTATAAACAGACTAAGCGCATAGGCGACAAAGTGATATATTAAATTATACAGACTATTTTGTCTAACCGTATTTGCTAATTTGCTATACCTCACGGCTCACACGAAATCGTTCATATAGAAACATGAACTGTGACACACGCAATGTCTCATCACCGGAATATTGGTCAGGTTTCGAAGCGATCACGGAAATCATGCCCTTTTTTGCTGGTATTATGCCCTTTATTATGCTTCACGAATCACGAGAGCGGCGCAAATTAGATAGTTTAAGTTATGATAATGTAAAGTTGTGTACGCAATTTAGTTGTTTGCGCTAGAATCATCATGAGTAATGTGAGTAATTAAATAATGCTGAAACGCGCCCTTTTGGCAGCTAGGCAGCGAAACCTTAAAATGCATATGCGTGGGGTCCGTGTGTTATTGTATAAAAGAGCTGTATGTTGTAAATGTATTCAGATCACTAGATCAGTAGAGAATAGAATTGGGATTAGATTAATCGCTGGAAGCTGTTAGCATTGCATTATTTGCATAATATAAGTACTACAACTAATAAATTCAAACCAAATTGCAAATTTCGACACGTTATAATGCCGTTTCCTGACCATCAGATTTCTGTCAAATCTTCCCCCAAAGTCCAGGAAATGGCATTTCAGAGACTTTAAATTCAAAAATTTTCCTGGGGGGCATGCCCCCGGACCCCCCTAGACAAACCTCGCACCTGCGGCGCTCGGCTCGTGCCTTCGGCCCTCGTTTATCAAGCGAAACATTATAGGGGCGCATATTTGTTGACAGCCCACTGGCCCCCCCAGAAAAATAGTACCAGCACGCCACTGGAACACATAGAATAATTTACGCAACCTCGTTCCCAGGGCTTTCGTATGAGGGCGAGGCAGAGAGACGAGAAAGCCCTGGTCTGGGCTGGGCCGGTCAATTTTGCATTCTGATTGGCTAACACCATATTGTCTAAAAATAGCTGAATTTGACAGTTGACAATAACAATTTCAACATATGTATTTTTATGTTTCTTGTGTGTACGAGTGTATTTTGCAAAATAATCTTTCAAAGTAAGAAGTTTTCGGTTTTCCCGACTGCATGATTTAGCTACTTTCGGCTCGGCCGGTTACAAAACTCAAAAGCTATGTTGACGTGAGCTGTGATGTTTCCTGGAAAAACGAGAAACATCTACTTTATAGTCGGTAGACTCAGGGACGCCGGAACTGGGGGGCAGGGGGGGGCGGCTTCCCCCCTTGCCTTTTGCTAGGGGGGGGCAGGGGGCAGAAGTGCCCTTTTAGTTGTAAAATAGTACGTGATAAATCACATTTACAACGATGCTTTTTGTACGAAAATCATGAGATTCAGACAATTTATAGTTTATATCCGACTTTTGATATGTGCGGAAAAATTTTTTGACCCCTAAAATTGTACACTGACCGAAATTTTAGTTTATATCTGACTTTTGGTATGTCCGGAAAATTTTTTTGACCCCTAAAATGGTACACTGACCGAAATTTTTTTGGCGACGGGGGGGTAGGTCGCCGAAAATTTTCGAGTAAAAAAAAATTTGCTTCATAGAGGTGCCCTTGGTCTGGGTCCGCCCCCCTTTGCCCTATGATCGTTCCGGCGTCCCTGGCCGTAGACTACTGCGCAGTTTTCAGTATTTATAATGTAGTGCAGATGTCGGATGAAATACTACGCGTATTGCATTGTAGTAATATTTAATTTACAATATTCTATACTGATCGACACAAATAAAAGCAAGACAAACAATTAAATGAAACTATTAAATTAATTTAGGCCCGGTTTACTTAATAGCTCTACGCCTAGTCCGATGTAGTCTCTACAAGATTTGTCACGCCACTGAGTTTTACAGTTTCAGAGTACCACGAATACTTGAAAATTGCGACTATACGATAAAATAAAACGAAGATTGTGAAAGGGATAAAATTTGTATGCAAGCATTGGTGTCCGGCGATCGAAGCGAACTGTATATTCACTGTACATGCAGCGTAAACAGGTAATTAATACCCGAGGTTTTATATTTGTGTTTATTTATATCGAACTAAGCCAGACCTAAGAGCATAATTATTTAAACCAAATATTAAAGGCTATTGCCATGTTGTTAAAGACGAGAGAAACCAAATTTCGTGTGAATCACCACTTGGAAACGCCTAAATGCAGCTTGGAAATCATGTTCAGATACAGTTGTGCCTTTGGCTTTGCCTGTCACTGTGGTTGAAAATCTCCAGAAATATCGGTATTTGTGCCAAACTTCGCTACACTGTTTATTTGTTCGAGAACCACCGCCACCCGCTACGCATGCGCTACCCGTCACCCGCTACCCGTTACCCGCCACCCGCGGAAAATACCTGCCGCTGTCTAGACCATGTATTATAATAGCCCGCAGGCCCCGCCCCGCACTAGCAGATTGAAATTTACAACTTCATACACAAAGAAAAATCATAAGCGTGTCGTATCTGTGATACAAATTCATATTGATTTACATAAACTTTAACTTTGATTTTCTCGGCTTAGACAACGTTTATTTTTGAAATTACTTCGCCAATGAACGCATAAGATGAGTCGTTTTTTAAGCCATGTCTCGCCTTCGGCTCGAGTTTGTATATCCGATACAACACGGCCGCACATGTTGTAAATAGTACATACAGTAGGAAACTTTTGCAATAATTCCCTTGACTATGTTATTCAAAAACATTCCAATGCTTTAATGACACACAGGCTGACAGCTAAAAATGATCCCATGCCCTAACTGCAAACACCTTAAATTTCGCGGATTCATGTAAAAGCCTCCCGTCACAATGAAAATAATAAAAATAAACCTCTGGAACCAGGGTAGTAAAAGCCGGGTAAAAAACTACAATATTTATTTTCGTGCATATTTATTTATAATATAGAAACACGTACTAGACAACTAAAACTATATATTGATACACAGTGTATAACAAGAGTTATAACTCTCTCACGAATCAACGCATAATAGTTTGACTTTTTCATTTTAATCTTCTATTAATAGTTAACCTATAAACCTTAATATTTCTTATATCTTCACACCAAACTCGGGTTTATATAAAGCGCTTGACCTGTTAGACCTGTTTCGTGTCAGAATATTTGTTTACATTTTGCTTCAAAACACGTTTGCTTTGCTTAACCAATAATAGATTGCGAGTAATTAGCGATAGCCAATGAGAACCGCTTATTAGACAGGATGTTCGAAAGTTGTAAATTTCACACCTGCAAATGCGGACTGCAAACTGCAACTGTGCAAAGACCGTTTTAAATATTCCTCGTCAGTCATCATGTCGGTTGTAAAACTCTATCTACGAAAATATAATACTGAAGAAACTATTGGGACATTGTCAGACATTACCCTTCAAACATCCCTAGCAGAAATAAGAAAAAAAATCGACAATGCGAAGCTGTTTCATAGTGATTACTGTTTTGTAGTGTTTGCAACACCATTAAACCGAAAACAGGAAAAAAAATATCTTGCAGCGCAATGCGTTAGTAAATCCGACCAGACACAAACGTTCTTTTGTGACCTGCAGATCACTGAAACAACAGAGAATGACACAACAAGTTCGACGACGACGGTTTTAGAGACAGAGTGTGATACACAAGTGTCGACCGAAACTATATCTGGATATGATGGACATGATGGTGAGCAAGATCTGGAATCTGCAAGTGTATCCAAGGAAACAGAATCAAAAAATCTAATTGCTGGTACAAGTGGTAGTCAAATATACAGTGACAATGAAATCGAAAATGCGACTGGATTACTAGAAAAGGAACGAATGATTTTTGCCAACAAGAAAGCAAGAGAAATTTCACGTGATCCATTCTTTGAAACTTGGGGTT